CCATACACAAAGACAAACTCGAAATGGATAAAAGACCTCAATGTGAGACAAGAATCCATCAGAATCCTAGAGGAGAACATAGGCAGTAATCTCTTCGATATCAGCCACAGCAACTTCTTTCAAGATATGTCTCCAAAGGCAAAGGAAACAAAAGCCAAAATAAACTTTTGGGACTTCATCAAAATCAAAAGCTTCTGCACAGCAAAGGAAACAGTCAAGAAAACTAAGAGGCAACCCACGGAATGGGAGAAGATATTTGCAAATGACAGTACAGACAAAAGGTTGATATCCAGGATCTATAAAGAACTCCTCAAACTCAACACACACAAAACAGATAATCATATCAAAAATGGGCAGAAGATATGAACAGACACTTCTCCAATGAAGACATACAAATGGCTATCAGACCCATGAAAAAATGTTCATCATCACTAGCCATCACGGAGATTCAAATTAAAACCACATTGAGACACCACCTTATACCACTTAGAATGGCCAAAATTAGCAAAACAGGAAATAACATGTGTTGGAGGGAATGTGGAGAAAGGGGAACCCTCTTACACTGTTGGTGGGAATGCAAGTTGGTGCAGCCTCTTTGGAGAACAGTGTGGAGATTCCTCAAGAAATTAAAAATAGGACTTCCCTATGACCCTGCAATTGCCTTTTTATTTTTTGATGGCTTCCTTTGCTGTTTTTTATTTTGATGTAGTCCCAATTGTTTAATTTTGCTCTTGTTTTTCTTGCCTAAAGAGACATATCTGGAAGAAGGTTGCTATGGCCAGTTTTGGAGTAATTGCTGCCTGTGTTCTTTCCAGGATTTTCATGGTTTCAGGTCTTACATCAAGGTCTTTAATCCATTTTTGGGTGTATTTTTGTGCATGCTGTTAAGATAGTGGTCCACTTTCATTCTTTTGCAATAAAGTTATCTTTACATACAGTGAATTTTAGGGTGGACTTTTAAGTGAAAAAAGGAAATGGTAAAGAGAAGAAAAATAGTGCTGGGAGAACATCAGATACCACTAATCAGAAAGCCAGACGCCTTTGTTTATTACGGCAGAGAGAAATACAAGGAGGATCAGTCACAGTTTCACAAGCGTTTAACAGGAACAAGATACTATCAACATTGTTATTTCCATAGCAGTGAATCCAGAGGGGGAAAGAGAAGGCGTTTGCCTCAGCATAATGGTCAGTGGCTGATAGAATGAGCTAAGTGGAAGCTTAATGGGGAACATGTTGTGTACACACTCTCAAAGTATCTCCCTACAAATCAAGTAGTAATTACAAAAGGCAAATAACAATGTTACTGTGGAGAAACCTGGGGGATGCCAAATTAACCAACTTATGAAAATGAAAATCACCCATAAGGAAAAATAAGGACAGTGTCGCTGGAGTGGTATTCCACTGTCAAATGCATGACCTGAATCTAAGTGGGAGGTGCCCTTGGACAAAGCTCTTCTTCTGTATGCATCATGGTTTCTTTCTCTTCAGGGCGTCCCCCTTCTCTTCTGCCCCTGAGTCATTGCCCCTCACCACAGCCCCATGACCAATGGCTGGGAGGAAAGGCACCCAATGTCTCCATTCATGCACTTGTTTTAAACGTCATTAATTTGGATGGCATTCCATGAGCTAGGGGAGCTCTGGAAGTGCACACAAACCACACAAGTGTGGGGAGAGGTGGTGACTTGGGCAGGACCCAGGAATCTTCTGAGCGTCCAGCTTTGAACCAGGCACTGGGCAGTCTTCCCTCGATGGCTCATTTGGACAGTGCCTAAAATGTAGAACTGTGCACTTACGGCAGGTAGAAATGGTTTTCCGAAAAAGGAGAAGTCCACATTTTCTTTGGGACCAGTACAGAGTGACAAATGAGGAAGTAGCCATTCTGCTTCCAGTAAAGTGTCGGTGTTGAAACGCAGCGGGGATGGGCGGGTAATGCACGCCTACCCACGCATCCTGTTGCTCAGCGTGGCCTTTCAGACTCTGCCCCCCGGGGCCCCTGTGCATAGCTGGGGCAGGCAGGAAAGTCACCAAGGTTGCAAAAATCACCATCCTGCTCTGCCTTATGCTGCAGGGAAGGAAAGTGAGTCATATTTTTATGATATCATTTTGTACTTTTAGAATGAGCCTTGAATTCCACTTTAAAATTCCCCTCAAGTTATCTACTTGGTGGTGTCTTACCAATTTACTATTCATGAATAAATAGTCTTAAATTGAGCATTGGCAATCAATTAAGCAATTATCAACCAATCATTGATAAATGTAGTCGTTTGCTGTGTAAATGTTCGTTTATTGTCTTCTACAGGCTGAAGTTCAGTGTGAGGTGTGCTCATGATTCAACAATGAGAAGATACAGCTTAGAATTCCATGAGCGATTTATGGCTTAACTCCTGCTTGTTTACAGAATCATTCTAACAAATTCTCAGATATAACCCCCTACCTTACCAGGGACGATTATTTGTGAAGCAGGGAGAGACACTGACTGTGTAAGTAGCATAAGATCAGTTTGAAATGCAAAATTAGTCACTTCTGTGTAGGTCCTAGACACCCGTGAGATTATGTTGGATCTGTAGGGGAAGGGGACCCTTGGGTGGGACTTCAGGAGAGATGGGAGTGGGGACACCAAGAGAGGCAGATTCAGATCTGGTATTGCCTTTGAAATGGGAAGTCAGAAAGTGGAACTTCTATTTAGGAGAAATGGGGTGAGGAGTTCTTTCCAATAGAGTCTGTTTCTTCAGAGAGAAGGAAGATCAAATGAGTTGTGCGTCATGCACATTCAGTTTTCAGAAAGTGTGCAGGAAGTTGAGAGTGGACAGAGTCTCCACTCCCTGGGCACAGGCTTCTCCTCTCATTTAAAAACAATGTCATTGCCTTCTTCACTGGTAAAATAGTGACCTGTTTCCTCCTGCAGATAGTTTCCCCCCTAAAACGTGCCTTGTTGATCTTACCATTTTGTTAAATATTCAATTACTTCTGGAGGCCCCCAAAACACTGAGCCTTCTGCGTGGACCAGTGAGAGTGGAAGCTCTAGGAGGAGGTGTGATTAGTGGGTCCCTGGACCCACCCTTGTGGTTATTTCTCTCATTCTGGAACAGACACCCTCAACAGCAGACACAGGTTTTCTGATGCATGGAGTAAGAGATTCAGTGAAGGAAAGGTCTGGTGGAAGGTGCTGGAAACACCTTCCCTACCAAAATAGGGAAACAGAAGTAAGTCTGCACTCTTGGAGAGATTACAGATTCATGCCATCTCCAAGAACTCAGAAAGACACAAGTGCCAGGGACGCCTCCCACTCCCCACTCGACCTGCCTGCTTAGTTTGCACAAAAGAGAGACGGGCCTTGGAGAATTGAGTTCTTGTACACCAGGTGATTCTAATTTCCACTTCTGTCCAGCTGAAAACTCATATAGAAACCTATCTCCTGGCACCTGGTGCACAGCTGTAGATTGGTGTGTTTATTTTCTTGGGTCCGCCCATAAAGGTCTTCAGGTTCAGTTTGCCTTTAGTTCTCAGAGCCAGCCACACACTGTCCGTGTCCACACTTGTTCTGGTCCATGTCACGTGTTCAGCCCTGCGCGCCTCTCCAGCCCTGTGTGCGTCTCCAGCCCTGCGTGCATCTCCAACTCTGCGCGGGTCTCCAGCTCTGTGTTATCCAGACTGCGGGGACTGTGACTGTCCCTCCATTGCAGAGGACATCACTCAGGTCCAGTACACACCATGTGGATTCCATCTGTGAAACAGGTAGTAGCAACCATGCTAGTGCTTTGTAGGATGGTGGGAAATAAATCTCCCCAGATTTCAGGTTCTTGCCACTTTGGTGACATTTCCTGGACTCCAGCTGCCTGAGGCATGTTGAGATACCCCACCCAAGGTGAAGACTCATTGCTCCATCTCATCCTCCTACTGATGAGACAATAGCTCAGTCCCTAGTGGGCCATCTTTGGAAGGTGGAGACAACATCCGGCTCCCTGGGCGTGCGACTGCTATGCACTTACTGAGTGTCTGGAGAGGCTGTTGCTTTTGAGTGCAGTCCCGGGCAAGAGAAGTCCTCGCAACAGGCCCAGGCTGCAGAAAGCCCGAGATTTATGATCCCAAAGATCCAGTGGTGTTTGGAGCTTTGGTGGCAGATGGGGTCAACATGGTTTGGCAGGGAACTATATAGATGAAGCACAACACAGACATTAAAGATTTTGGAGCCACACTATGCCGATTCTGCAGAGAACTACTCTCCTTTTGTGAAGAGCTCAGGGTTGCTCCTGGGCTTTAGTGGAGGCAGAGTGCTTGGCCATGAGTCATCACAAGGGTCCTCATGAGTGAAGGAGGGGGTCAGGGGGCCAGAGATGAAAGGAGGGCGGCAAGGCATACGGGCAAGGCACCCAGCTTGGAAAGGAAAGGGAATGGATTCGCCCCCAGGGGCTCCAGAAGGAGCACAGCCCAGGACACCTCAACTGTAACTCAGGGGTGTCCATGTTGGAATTCTGCCCTTTGGAATGATAAGATAATACGTCTGTGCTGCTTTAACCCACCAGCTTGTAGTGATTGGTTATGGCAAGAACGCAACAGGAAAATAATACACCAGACAGTCCTTTTTTGATTGTGCTTTTTTGCTTTTAGTTTTCTGTTTTGCTAATCTGAGCTCCGCAAACTAGCTCGAATCAGGCTAGTCCAGTCTAGTGTTTCTGGACCAGACAAAATGCAAGCATTCAATAAAACCTGTTGGAGCTTGGTCCACAAGGGGGGGTATCGGGCCAGGAAGACAGGAGTTCATGGTCGGGAGGGAGCCTCAGATGTGGTCAGAAACATCTGCAAAGCCCATTGCCTGCCCTAGCCTCAGCCCCGGGGAAATGACAGCCACACTGTTCCCCTTCCTGTGGAGCAGCTGACATGACAACCCGTGATGGGGAGGGCTGGCCTCCGAGTGCCCACACCGTGTGTGTCTGCCTGTCCTGCGGTCACAGGACAGGTCACCTCCTTCTGCACAATCGGAACGAGGAAGAGGAGACGCCATGGCCCCCACCCTCACAGCCCTGCTCTGTCTTGGTGAGATCTGAGCAGGGGAGGGGACACCTTAGTCTGGGAGGGACCCGCCCCACAGCCAAGCCCTGGTCTGTCAGAGGCCCTAGGCTCAGGAGGCTCATGGGGAGGTGGGGATCTGTGAGGATTTGGGGCAAACCTCTCACAGGGACTCTCTTCCAGGGCTGAGTGTGTGCCCCAGGACCCGAGCACAGGCAGGTGAGTCTGTCACCAGAGGTCCCAGTCCCTCCTCACTGGGGACAGGGGTCACCCACCAGGCAGCAGCGGATGGAGAGCAAGAGCTCTGGGCTGACCGAGGGGAATGTCTGGGGGCTTGGGGCTGAGCTGGGACCTGGGGGTGGGGAAGGTCTGTGTCCCAGCCTCTGTTTCCTTCCAGGGACCCCCCCCAAACCCACCATCTGGGCTGAGCCCAGCTCTGTGATGCCCTGGGGGACACCTGTGACCATCTGGTGTCAGGGGAGCCTGGAGGCCCAGGAGTACCACCTGCATAAAGAGGGAGAGTCAAGGACCTGGGACAGACAGAAGCCGCTGGCGCCCAGGGACAAGGCTAAGTTCTCCATCAAACACATGACAGATGTACATGCAGGAAGATATCACTGTACCTACTTCAGTCCCACCGGCTGGTCAGAGTACAGTGGCCCCCTGGAGCTGGTGGTGGTGACAGGTGTGAGCCCACTCAGGGTCCCAGCCCCAGGCTCTGCCCTCAGGAAGGGGGTCGGCTCTCAGGTGCCTCCCTCTCACAGCCCAGTCTGGGATAACGTGGGGGGTCTGAACCCGATTTAACACCACCCCCTCCGCCTCTCCTAGGATCCCATGGCCAACCCAGCCTCTCAGCCCTGCCCAGCCCTGTTGTGACCTCAGGAGGGAACGTGACCCTGCAGTGTGCCTCACGGATGGGATTCCACAGGTTCGTCCTGATGAAGGAAGGAGAGCGCCAGCCCTCCTGGACCCTGGTCTCCCAGTCAGTCCCCAGTGGGGGGACCCAGGCCCTGTTCCCTGTGGGCCCCGTGACCCCCAGCCTCAGGTGGACGTTCAGATGCTACGGCTATTACAGCAACACCCCCCAGATATGGTCGGACCCCAGTGACCCCCTGGAGCTGCTGGTCTCAGGTGAGAAAGTCTGACTGTTGCCCCATCCATGTTTTGAGGCACCAGACAGGTTAACGGGGACTCTGCTCCCAGGGGAGCCCCAATGAGAGGGTGGGTGAGGGGACCACGGGGACTCACAGGTCAGAGTCACTGGAGGTGACAGACCGTGAGACCTAGGGGTCAGGACGGGAGAAGGGAGGTTTGGGGAGAAGCAGTCCCTGCCATCCAGGGCTGGTCTCTCCCAGGTGTGTCGGGGAAGCCCTCCCTCCTGACCCAGCAGGGCCCTGTTGTGACCTCTGGACAGAGCCTGACCCTCCAGTGTCGCTCTGATGTCAGCTACGAGAGATTCGCTCTGTCCAAGGAGGGGGCACCTGACCTTCCACGGCAGCTTGGCCGGCAGACCCACGCTGGGATCTCTGGGTCAGACTTCCCCCTGGGCCCTGTGAGACCCTCCCACGGGGGCCGGTACACATGCTATGGTGGACACACCCTCTCCTCCAAGTGGTCGGCCCCCAGTGAACCCCTGGACATCCTGGTCGCAGGTGAGGGCTATGGCATTGGTCAGGACCCCAGACTTTGCACAGGTCCTACCAATGGAGCCCCAGGTGGTGGCTAGGACCAGGGGTGTGGGGTCCCCTGGGAGGGAGAGAGACAGAGAGAGACAGGGGATAGGACAGCACAGACTCGGGGGACTCAGACAGACACAGTTCAGAACAAGGTCTGGACAGCCCCTCACCCGCCCTTCCTCTCTCTAGGACAGCTGCCCTACACACCCTCCCTCTCGGTGCAGCCGGGACCCACGGTGGCCCCAGGAGAGAATGTGACCCTGCTGTGTCAGTCACGGAGCCCTGTAGACACTTTCCTTCTGTCCAAGGAGGGGGAAGCCCATCCCCCGCTGCGTCTTAGATCACAGTACCGAGCTGGGCAGCACCAGGCTGAATTCCCCATGAGTCCTGTGACCTCAGCCCATGGGGGGACCTACAGGTGCTATAGCTCTGCCAGCACCTCCCCCTACCTGTTGTCCCAGCCCAGTGACCCCCTGGAGCTCCTGGTCTCAGGTGAGGTTTGCTGACCCTGTCCCCTCTGTGTCCCAACATTGCTTCAGGGCCCTGTGTCCAGGAGGGCTCTGGTCTAGGATGGGAGTGAGGGGCTCCAAGGGAACATCAGTGGATAGGGTCTGCCCCTCACGGTGCAGGAGGGAAACAGGTCCTCCCACGCTTGCCCATCCCTCGCCCCAGCCCCAGGATTCTTCTGGTGGAGGAGGAGCTTGGGGGTCACAGGGCACATGAGGAGGAAGAGTGTGAGCAGAGACAGGGTCTCAGGGGAAGCTCCAGCCCCTCCACACTCCTGTCTTTTCCCTAGGACCCTCTATGGACCCCAGCCCCCCGACCACAGGGCCAGGCTCAGCAGATGGTGAGTCACAGGGGCTGCTGTCCAGGGGATTTTCTTCTAGGCTCTCAGAGATGCCCGGGGGACGACAGCGCCCCGGGGCTCTGAGGCTTGTGGGGGGCGGGGGTCCCTGGTGGGGGAGGAGCAGCCAGGTGCAGTGTGGAGCATGGCAGTTCCCACGCCTCACCCTTGCTGACCCCAGGAGGCTCTAAGGGTGAGTGAGGGTCTCTATCAGCCTTGGTGGATGGGTCCATGGAGAGCTCTGAGTTGCCCCCTCAGTTCAGGGTCTTTCGGAGGTGCTGGCTGGCACATGCCCCTCCCCTGTGTGGGCCTCAGTTTCCCCAAGTGTAAAGAAAAGAGTCGTGGACAGAGTAGATTTCCCATCAGACCATGGCTCTGATCCTGGGAGAGGAGGGCTCACGGGGAAGCCCCCCAGGTCGTGACCTATGGGGAGTTCTGTCCCTTTGCAGCAATGACAGTGACATTGTAGGGGGAGGGGAGGGAGGACAATGGCTGGGGGCATTCAGGTAATAAGGGGAATCTGGAAGGACCCTCAGCTCCAGAAGAAGATGCTGAGACAGGCCGGGCCCCATATGAGGAGCCCAGAGCCCTGAGCTGGTGTCTGCACAGGGGACAGCATGAGGAGAACACAGGGAACCCACAGCCCTGGTTTCAGTCTCAGCCCTGCTGCCTCCAGGCTGGGTGACCTGAGACATGTGCATGACCTCTCTGTGCCTCAGTTTTCTGTCTGTGGAGTGGGCAGGAGGGGCAGCAGTCATCTGCTGGGTGATCATTGACAGGGTCAGAGCTGAGTGCACAGAGCTGAGCAGGTGCCTGGCACACAGTAGGTGCTCAATTAAATGGCATCACTGGTTCATTCATGGTGTTGCTCCTGCACAAGGTCCCCACTGGTACCTGTACGTCCTCATCACGGCCTCAGTGGCCTTCGTCCTGCTGCTCAGCCTTCTCGTCCTCCTCCTAGTTCACCACCAGCGTCGGGTCAAAGGCAGGAAGCCGGGTGAGAAGGGAAGGAGGTGACATGTCCCAGGGGGTGGTGGCTGCCCTGTGAGCGGACCAAGGGTGGGCTCAGGGCAGCAGTCAGAGGAAAACCAGAGCGATGGGAAAGGCCGGTGTAGAAAGACACCTGTGCAGAATCTCAACCCAGAGAATCTAGAAAGAAACCCCCAGGTTGGTACCCACGAGCCAGTTGAAGGTACTTCCCTCCACTCAATCTGGGGAGATGGAGAAACACACAAATAGTATGTGTGAAGGGCATCTTTCCCTGGAATCATATGGTTGGGGGCAGGTTGTAACCTCCCAGCCCAGAGGGAGACTGATTCCCAATGTCCTTCAGGGGCTGCAGACCCGGAGCCCAAGGAAAGAGGCCTGCACAACAGGTAACTTGTGCCCGCAGTGCCCCAGACTCCCACCCACCTGCCCCCACTATGCCCCCCTAACACCCTGTCTCCTCCCCAGCTCCAGCCCAGTCCCTGCCACCCAGGAGGAGAGCCTCTGTGAGAGGAAGGGGGCCGCCCTGGGGGTGGGCTGGGTGGGTCCGGCGTCGGGGGTGAGGATTGAATTCCCACATGCCCCTCAGCCCACTGCTGAAGCCCCGGGAGGGCAGACGCCCTATCTGGGAGCAGGGCGGTGTCTGCAGCCCCGAGAGGGGGCTCAGGGGGCCTTGCCAAGAGACACACCCCCTTCTGTCCCAGCAGACGCTTCCATGCAAGACATTCAGCCTGAGGAGGGGGTGGAGCTGGACCATCGGGTGAGACCCCCAGCCCTCGTGCAGACCCCAGGGCTCTTGTGGTGCCAAAGTGAATCCAGTGGACACTTCCGTGTCCTCACACCACCCAGTCTCAGTAGTGTCCCTCAGACGCCTTCACGCTCCTTGGGCACTCTGGGTCAGCCCACTGTGAAATCGTGGGGCCTCCTTTGTGCTCCCTTGTGTGGCTCCCCAACCACTATCTGACTTCTGGTTGTCGGGGTGCATGTCCATGTCTCAAGAGGGTGCATGAAGAAATGATTCTCCCACTGGTCACTAAGCCCCTTCATTCATTCAGCCAGCAAAAGACATAGGGAGCCCAGCATTTGCCAGGCCCCACCTAGTGCTGCCTGCATAGCTGTGAGCAAATCTGACCCATCCTCCGTGAGCTTGCCTTGTGGGTGGTAGACAATATGCACGGAAGTGGGCAGCATCCCCGAGAGCAACATGTGGCCAAGAAAAATAAAACAAAGGGAGGGGGTAGCAGGTGCAAAGGTCCTGAGGCAGCAACATGCTTTATCAGGAGCATGGTCCATGCAGCTGCAACCAAATGAGCAAGAAACACTGTCCGGAATAGAATCAGAGCCAGAGTACAAATCACACACCCCAAGGCTCAGGAAGCCCCTGCAGAGTTCACCAGGAAAGTGACCCAATGGGCAGGAAAGTTTGGAAGCATCGCTCTGGCAACATTGGGGAAAATTGTCTGAGGTGGTCAAGGGGCATCAAGGAGACAAACCTCCCCCTCACTGTCTGTCCGCAGCAGAACACACAAGATGAAGACCCCCAGGGACCAACGTACGCCCAGGTGAGCCGGTCAAGATCAAGACTCAGCTGGGGACTGGCCACTTCTCCTTCCCCCGTGTCGGAGGGACTGTTGGACTCAGAGGACAGACAAGCAGAGGAAGACAGGCAGACGGACTGTCAGGTGGGTCCCTTCTTCTCTGAGTTCCCAGGCTCCCCCTCCTCAATCACAAGCCTCCCCTCTCTTCCCCACTGCAGGTTACTGCGTCTGACACATCCCGGGATGTGACCTACGCCCAGCTGAACTGCTTGACCCTAAGACAGGAGACAAGGGCATCCCCTCCCTCCCAATCAGGGGAGCCCCCAGCAGAGCCCAGTGTGTATGCTGCTCTGGCCATCCGGTAGCCCAGGAGGGGCCCAGACCCCACACTCCAGGAAGGGGGGAACCACAGGGACCCTGGAAGGCACAGGAGCTGCCCATAGTGGGTGTCACTTAATGATGACCCCAGCCAGCCTGGACTCTTCACATGGACCAGTAAGAACTCCTGGGACCCTCTGGGAGTCACTGATTCTGCCATCAAAGATAATAATACCCCTACACTTTGGAAATCAAAGCAACAGACTTCCCAATTACCCATGAATGAAATGACAAAATCCTAATGGAAATGAGAGAATGTTTACACTGAAGGACAGTGTAAATGTTACAAATCAAACCTATGAAATGGGAAAATAAGAACCAAGAACCAATCTATTAGAAAAGAAAAAGCCTAAAATAATTAATGACAGAACCTATTCTATCGAGAATTTGGAAAAAGAAGAGCAAGTTATTCAAACAAAAGTAAAGACAAGACCTGGCTAGAAATGAAGACAAATTTAAAAATAGAGAAAAATCAATAAAGCTGAAAGTGTTCCTTTTTGTAAGCAATGGTAACATTTATAAATCCTAGCCACAAAACCAAGAGGTGAGAGAGAGAGAAAGGGAGGAGGTACACATCACCATTATGAGGATGGCATCCCATCCTACAGACTTTAAATTTAGAATGGAACATTATTAACTCTTTTATGCTGATATATGAGACAATGTAGATGAAATGGATAAAATTCTTGAAATAGAAGCTATTAAATTGATGGAGAAGTAGTAAATATCTATCACCTTATGAATACATTGAATGCATTGACTGTGATCAAACCGTCCCCCATCTGAAGTATGTGGAAACTGAGAGAAATAGAGAGCAAAGTTGTGGCTGGCTGGGCTGGAGTGTGGAAATGGGGAGGTGTTGGTCAGGATTATAGGTAGATGAACAAGGTCTCTAAAGTTATAAGACCACAAGATCTGGGGAAATCATATACCACATCATGACCACAGCTCATAACACTGTAACCTATTCTTGAATGTTGCAAAGAGTGTAGATCTAAATGTTCTCATCACATACAAGAAAGGCAGATACGGTATGGCATGGAAGTGTGAGCTAACGGCATGGCGATAATCATTTTGTAATATACATTTGTGTCTATTGAGGAAGCTTCATTGGCAATTTCCTCCAAACACTGATGCCCTTAGGAAACACACATGCTCTGGCGCCCACGTGGATACATTGCATACATGCACACACGCATACTCACATGCATACATATACATGCAAACACACACACGCATACGCTCAAACACACACATGCATACACACAATGAAATTATACGTGCCCTTCCTGAGAATAAAAAAAGAAACAATATTGTATCATGCTACGAAGAAATAGACACCAAACTAGGCAAGGAAATTCCTGAATGGAAAGACACAGTAAGTTCCCTCACATTAACTCCAATGTGAATCTCTAAACAAAATGTTCACAGATGAGATTCAGCAATGTATAAAAAGCCAAAAGAAACTTTTGGGACTTCATCAAAATCAAAAGCTTCTGCACAGCAAAGGAAACAGTCAAGATAACAAAGAGGCAACCCACGGAATGGGAGAAGATATTTGCAAATGACAGTACAGACAAAAGATTGATATCCAGGATCTATAAAGAACTCCTCAAACTCAACACACACAAAACAGACAATCATATCAAAAAATGGGCAGAAGATATGAACAGACACTTCTCCAATGAAGACATACAAATGGCTATCAGCCCCATGAAACAATGTTCATCATCACTAGCCATCACGGAGATTCAAATTAAAACCACATTGACATACCACCTTACACCAGTTAGAATGGCCAAAATCAGCAAGACAGGAAACAACATGTGTTGGAGGGGATGTGGAGAAAGGGGAACCTTCTTACACTGTTGGTGGGAATGCAAGTTGGTGCAGCCTCTTTGGAGAACAGTGTGGAGATTCCTCAAGAAATTAAAAATAGAACTTCCCTATGATCCTGCCATTGCACTACTGGGTATTTACCCCAAAGATACAGATGGAGTGAAAAGAAGGGCCATCTGTACCCCAATGTTCATAGCAGCAATGGCCACGGTCGCCAACCTGTGGAAAGAACCAAGATGCCCTTCAACGGACGAATGGATAAGGAAGATGTGGTCCATATACACTATGGAGTATTAGGCCTCCATCAGAAAGGATGAATACCCAACTTTTGTAGCAACATGGACGGGACTGGAAGAGATTATGCTGAGTGAAATAAGTCCAGCAGAGAGAGTCAAGTATCATATGGTTTCACTTATTTGTGGAGCATAACAAATAGCATGGAGGACATGGGGAGTTAGGAGAAGGGAGTTGGGGGAAATTGGAAGGGGAGGTGAACAATGAGAGACTATGGACTCTGAAAAACAATCTGAAGGGTCTGAAGGGGCGGGGGGTGGGAGGTTGGGGGAGCCAGGTGGTGGGTATTGTAGAGGGCACATATTGCATGGAGCACTGGGTGTGTACAAAAACAATGAATACTGTTATGCTGAAAATAAATAAAAAATGTTTTAAAGAAATTAAAGAAAAAGATTTAATTTATTGGACAAGAGTGGTGATAGTGGGCATCCTTGGTGTGTTCCTGATCTCAACGTTAAGGCTGTGAGCTTTTTCCCATTGAGGATGATATTTTCTGTGGGTCTTTCATAGATAGATTTTATGAAGTTGAAGAATGTTCCCACTATCCGTATACTTGAAACCGTTCTAATCAGGAACGGATGCTGAATTTTGTCAAATGCTTTTTCTGCATCAATTGAGAGGACCATGTGGTTCTTCTCCCTTCTTTTATTGATTTGTTCTATCACATTGAATGATTTGCGAATGTTGAACCATCCTTGTAACCCAGGGATGAATCCCACCTGGTCATGGTGGATAATCTTTTTAATGTGCTGTTGGATCCTGTTTGCTAGGATCTTGTTGAGAATCTTAGCATCCATATTCATCAGTGACATTGGTCTGAAATTCTCCTTTTTGGTCGGGTCTTTGCCTGGTTTGGGGATTAGGGTAATGCTGGCTTCATAAAAAGAGTCTGGAATTGCAGGGTCATAGGGAAGTTCTATTTTAAATTTCTTGAGGAATCTCCACACTGTTTTCCAAAGTGGCTGCACTAACTTGCATTCCCACCAACAGTGTAAGAGGGTTCACATTCCCTCCAACACACGTTGTTTCCTGTCTTGCTAATTTTGGCCATTCTAACTGGTGTAAGGTGGTATCTCAATGTGGTTTTCATTTGAATCTCCCTGATGGCTAGTGATGATGAACATTGTTTCATGGGGCTGATAGCCATTTCTATGTCTTCATTGGAGAAGTGTCTGTTCATATCTTCTGCCCATTTTTTTTAAAGATTTTTATTTATTTGACAGAGAGAGATCACAAGTAGGCATAGAGGCAGACAGAGAGAGGGGGAAGCAGGCTCCCTGCTGAGCAGAGAGCCCGATGCGGGACTCGATCCCAGGACCCTGAGATCATGACCTGAGCCGAAGGCAGCGGCTTAACCCACTGAGCCACCCAGGCGCCCCTTCTGCCCATTTTTTTGACATGATTATCTCTTTTGTGTGTGTTGAGTTTGGGAGAGATTATGCTGAGTGAAGTAAGTCAAGCAGAGAGAGTCAATTATCATATGTTCTCACTTATTTGTGGAGCATAACAAATAGCATGAAGGACAAGGAGAGATGGAGAGGAGAAGGGAGTTGAGGGAAATTGGAATGGGAGGTGAACCATGAGAGACTATGGACTCTGAAAAACAATCTGAGGGTTTTGAAGGGTGGGGGGTGGGAGGTTGAGGGAACCAGGTGGTGGGTATTAGAGAGGGCACGGATTTTATGGAGCACTGGGTGTAGTGCAAAAACAATGAATACTGTTAAACTGAAAAGAATTAAAAAAAAGAGAGACTGGAAGTTTTCCTTCTGCTTCAATTTTTTGAAACAGCTTCAGGAGAATAGATGTTATTTCTTCTTTGAAAGTTTGGTAGAATTCCCCAGGGAATCTGTCAGGTTCAACATAGTATTAGAAGTCCTAGCAACAGCAATCAGACAACAAAGAGAAATAAAAGGTATCCAGATTGGCAATGAAGAAGTCAAACTCTCTCTCTTCGCAAATGACATGATTCTTTATATGAAAAACCCTAAAGACTCCACCCCCAAACTATTAGAACTCATACAGTAATTCAGTAACGTGGCAGGATACAAAGTCAATGTACAGAAATCAGTGGCTTTCTTATACACTAACAATGAAAATAGAGAAAGGGAAATTAGAGAATCGATTCCATTTACCATAGCACCAAGAACCATAAGATACCTGGGAATAAACCTAACCAAAGAAGTAGAGAATCTGTACTCGAGGAACTACAGAGCACTCATGAAAGAAATTGAAGAAGACACAAAAAGATGGAAGACCATTCCATGCTCTTGGATCGGAAGAATAAACATTGTTAAAATGTCTATACTGCCTAGAGCAATCTATACTTTTAATGCCATTACGATCAAAATTCCACCGATATTTTTCAAAGAGCTAGAGTAAATAATCCAAAAATTTGTATGGAACCAGAAGAGACCCCGAATTGCTAAGGAAATGTTGAAAAACAAAAATAAAACTGGGGGCATCACGTTACCTGATTTCAAGCTTTACTACAAAGCTGTGATCCCCAAGACAGCATGGTCCTGGTATAAAAACAGACACATAGACCAGTGGAACAGAGGAGAGAGCCCAGATATGGACCCTCAACTCTATGGTCAGTTAATCTTCGACAAAACAGGAAAAAATATACAGTGGAAAAAAGACAGTCTCTTCAATAAATGGTGCTGGGAAAACTGGACAGCTATATGCAGAAGAATGAAACTCGAACATTCTCTTACACCATACACAAAGACAAACTCAAAGTTATAAAAGACCTCAATGTGAGACAGGAATCCATCAGAATCCTAGAGGAGACATAGGCAGTAACCTCTTCGATATCAGCCACAGCAACTTCTTTCAAGTTATGTCTCCAAAGGCAATGGAAACAAAAGCGAAGATGAACTTTTGGGACTTCCTCAAGATCAAAAGCTTCTGCACAGCAAAGGAAACAGTCAACAAAATAAAGAGGCAACCCACGGAATGGGAGAAGATATTTGCAAATGACAGTACAGACAAAAGGTTGATGTCCAGGATCTATAAAGAACTCCTCAGACTCAACACACACAAAACAGACAATCATATCAAAAAATGGGCAGAAGATATGAGCAAA